ATTATTATTATTATTATTATCATTATCATTATTATTATGAAAGGTAAGCCAATTTAAGTAAGATAATAATAGGTGGACGGTAACAAATAAAAGCAAAATATATAAAATAACTGTGATGTCTTACCAAAGTTGTCAGGCCTTTTTGTAATTGCAGATGTTTGAATATTTTCAGCAATCCTGAAGTGGAAAACAAATCGAAAACACATGCAATAATATTCAACAGAAATGTTCGTCAGTCAAAAAAATGCCCTGGATATTGATTTAGAAACCAAGTAAAGTGATAAGGCAGGAGTAACACAAAAGCTGAGCGACGGAAAAGAGAGTACGCTTGTGGAAAAGTTGCATGAAGCGCCATCATTGTATGCTAGCTATACAAAGTCGGGTTGAACAACTGTCCAAAATTACGCAGGAATTTGTACAAAATACGTCAAGTTGAGGGCGCCAGGCCTAAGGCGAGTACGTCCAAAATACGTCAACTTGAGGGCGCTTAGCATGTCCAATAAATAAGAGAGTACATCCGAGTAGTGTACATCCAAAATACGTCAACTTGAGGGCGCTTGGCATTTCCATAGGATAGAGTTCCTGCGACAGGGCCTAGGCCTTTTTACTGGACAACTTAGAAATTCGTATAGTAAATGGGTGTTTGTGGCACGCCTCAGCTAGGGACCCAGTCCGAGGGTATCTCCAAAATAACTAGTAGCAGGGGCGGATCCAGCCCGGTAAGAAAGGGGGGGGGGGGGGGGGGTGAATGTCCAAACTAAGTGAGAGTCTCAGGAAAGAGCCCCTGGTAGGGGTGCAGGGAGAGTTGCCCCCTTAAACTTCTAGCACCTTCATTAATTTGAGTTGATATTTGATTGATTTTTAATATTTAGCATGGTAATTTTCTGATAAGCTTTACAAAACAATATTTTTACAAAAAAATAGAGGGGGCGTACGCCCCTTACCCCCCCTCTAAATCCGCCACTGAGTAGTATATAATAAGAGAAATCCGTAAGTCATACGGTAACTGAAAAAGTACTACGCTACTTTTATAGCTAGCTAGGCCTAATCTAGTACTACCTACCTACCTACGTACTGTACTGCAGAGGCCTATTTTAATACACTATTTAGATAGACTCTTCTTTTCACATCTTGTGCCAGAGGTCGAAACATTTTTTTCATTTCTTAAAACTTATATAGTGGTGTAGAATAGTCTTTCAAGAACATTTCCAGAAAAAAAAATAATGTGACACGATTCTTCGTTACGGAGTTATGGATTTTTAAGTAACATGAGTTCAATAATTTTGCCTCGAAGCTTATATTATCATATTTTTGTTTGCTACGCACCACTGACTTGATCAATTGACAACAAATATCTTATAACACAAGATAGTGTTCTCCGCGATTTACGCGTGCAAATTCTGTAATACGGCATGAATGGCGCCCTCTTGCTAAATTGGAAACTTTTGACCCTTGAGCGCTCTGACCATACTGTACACCGCGCGACTTTACGTTTAGGGTATCAATCCTGTGAAACAAGAACCATCTCAGATCCATGGCAACAGATAGGACGCCCTCTTCCAAAACTGATTACTTTTTCTCTTTGGTAATAACCAAATAACGCATGAATGGCGCCCTCTTGCTAAATTGGACTTTTGAACCTTGACCGACGCTTCTCTTTGTTACGCGTAAATCGCGGAGAACGCTATCCATGGGCGTCGATTGGTGGGGACAGGGGGACGCGTCCCCCCACTTTTCAAAGTAGGGGGACATCATATCGATTGTCGCCCCCCCCCCACTTTTCACCAATCTTCTATAATTAAAACCCCACTTTTAAAAGCGAATGGAAAGAATAACAAAATGCATGACTCATGAATTTTGTCTGTTCACATTTCTAAGTGCGGTACGTATTTTCCGGACCAAAATCGAGTAAAAACGCAATTGTTTAAACATTTCGTAACCATCTCAGAAACCCACTAGATCGATTTTATGGGTGCAACGATTATCAGAGGCTAAATTTATTGTGAAAACAATGTACTGAACGTTGTTAAAATTGGAAGCATGTATCCTTATTAGGCCAATATTTTTACAAATTCAAAAGTGCACAATTTCTACTATGAACAATTTATTCCTTTTTTTATATTATTATAACCAGTACGTATATACTAGTGTTTAATATTATCTTTAATATAGGATTACTGTTTTTCCTAATTTTAGCCTTTAACACGGATATGTCTAGGCCCCTACCTATTTCGATTAAGTGATAAGCCTACCAAAAGTTTACAAACTCCAGTGTTACATTGACGCAGTCTCGCAATGACGCCATAACAATCAGTGGCAGATTCAAGTGGGGCCGAGCCGACCTTAATTTTTTCAAAATTATTTTTTTTAATGGAAAAAAAACAAAGGAAAATTATAATTAGAATGTAGGTCTGAGAGTGCCATTTCCGGCAATCTAGTGTGTCATAATCATAAATTTTCTTTACTCAGCCCCAACCATATGGTGGGGCTGAGGTGATCTACTTTTCCAACGTGCAAGTCCCTCCCTGTTCCCCCTCTAATTTGCTTTCCTGGAGCCGCCACTGATAATGATAAATTAAGTAAATCACCTTTATATTTGTGAAATCAAAATGCTAACTAATGTTTTGTGTGCTCCCTATCTCCCTAGTCCTGTTTGATCGTAAATTAGACGGTATTATTTCCACTCACAATAATTTATCGCAATATTACTTGCACAAAAGTGAAATTCAAAAAGAGGAGAAAAGCAAACACTTCTTGATTGATTTTAAAAGTAGTGTACATGCAAAAAGACTAAATTAATGACTGTTTTAAGTTTATTTTATTTGTTTTTCATAGTTCAAATTTTGAATACGTTGCAAGCTAATCAGTAGATAATAAATCATTATTTTTATGAATGTTAGTTTGCACGAAATATATAAGCGGGCATAATTATGACTAAACAGGATAATTTAAAAAACTTTTTATGATGAGTATTTCAGTGGCAGATTCGAAGGGGCCCAGCCGGAACACCATCACTATTTTTTTTTCTCGAAATTTAAAAGTGGAGAAAAATTAAAATTATATTCAGATTCAGTCTGAGAGTGCCATTTCCGACCAACTGGAGGTGCCATAATCATAAACTTTCTTACCTCAGCCCCAACCATGGTGGGGCTGAGGTGGTAGTCCAGCTACACTCTCCATCTGTAAAAGTCCTCTCTGGGCCCAGCTCTATTTAAAATTACTGGATCCGCCACTGGATATTTTGAAAATTTCGTATGGAAATAAATGTTAATTGCATTGCTTAAAAATAAATTAAAAGGTTATATTATGCGCCAGAGCTTCCGGGGCTTCGCCCCCTGGTCCCCAACCATTGCTTGGGCCTACGGCCCAAGGCTTTATTTTTCATTTCGTCCCATCCCACCCCTCCCCCCACTTTCAGCCACGGATCGACGCCCTTGACGCTATCTTGTGTTAAGATCTTTGAATTGGCACCAAGATGGCAGATAGAGGGCGGCCAGTAGTCACGTGACCTGCACCGCTCATATCGCAACTCTCTCTATATAGGAATTCTACCATAGGAGAGTTAGCCAAAATACGCCAACTTGACGGCGCTATTCCTTTTCAATATGGGAGAGTACACCATCCAAAATACGTCAATTTTAGAGCGCTATTCCTACTTTCCGGTTATGCCAACTTTGTATCCAAAATACGTTAACTTGAGGGCGCTATGCATCTTCCAATATAGGGAGTGAGTATATCCATATTAATTTTTTATACCTCCATGGTATATTGGAAATGCGACATCTTGAGGGTGCAAGCATTTCCAATAAAAGACTAGGTGAATACTGCAATTGTATTAAGAAAAATAATTGTTGTATTGTATTGTTGTAATTTATGAGAGTGCAATTTCCGGGCACCTAGAGGCAGGCGCGGGTCATTAATATTATTATTATTATTCTTATTATTATTATTATTATTATTATTATTATTATTATTATTATTATTAATCTAGACCTCTTCGCACCGTTCGCCAATATAAAGTGATAGCAGTGCCTGGTGGTCTGCCGAATTGCAACTCTTTCTGTCAGAAATAACACCTACCCAAACCAAAATAGACAAAATAAAATTGTTGCATTGTCTAAGTATTAATCAAAGAGGGACTGTAATTAATTCGGCTGCGCGATAACGTACCCCGGTACACTGTTGAGTTCTTTTATTATAACGAATGCTGTTCGTTAAAAAATAAAAAAAAGTCTTTAATGGAGTTGGTAGCCTAATTGTAGACCAGCTTAAAACTTACGAACACACTTAGATACAATATATCTAAAAAGAAAGTCAAAGATGGCCACTGAGAGGCTGAAAGTGAACACAGAACCTGACGAAGAGCAACGACGTGAATGGTATGTAAATTTCAAATCATACAGCGTTGGAAGTGGAAAAATAATAATAAAAAAAAATACTGAGAAATTGAGAAGATATCTAATAAGCGTATAATACTGTATTAATTGGCAGGTAAAATGTAAAGTTTCCAGGCCCGTACATACAGTAGGTGGGGTGTTACGAAGAATGTGTATAACGCACCCAACCAAATTTGATAAGGTCAACATTTCCAAGACAGTCGAGAATGTACTAAATATAAATTTGTGATTTTCTGTGATTTAAAAATAAAATCTTAATTTTTTACATTTAACCAGTAGGCCTAATCTACTCAGTTCGTCGTGATTCGGAAAACGCAATTTATTCAATTTTTTGAAATTTTGGCTTAGGGGCACCTTGTGGATGTAATCTATCATGGAACGTGATCATATACTCCTAACAATTTTTCGAAATATGAAATTATTATGAGAGTTACGCATTATATCCGACCGTCCAACCACTACTATGCATTGAAATGTTGGCAATCAACCAATCACAGAAGACATTTATGCATATTTAAATACTTTCCCAGCTGGTGGCGGTACAATAAAAATGCATTAGTATTTTTCCTGAAGTTACAACTTAAAATTTGTGGTCATAAGATTAATTTTAGAACCGCATTATTAACACGATTATTAGGTAAATCCTTCCAGGTCGGCGCGTGCACTGAAAACGTTTTTTTTTTTAATTTATTTTTTTTTAAAATTGGATTTAACATGTGTATAATGATTTTGATAAACAATCATAATTCTCTGTATTATCTATTAAACATTTAAAAAATGAACTTCCTTATGTTGTGGTTATATTAGTCTGTAATATTTTTTAAGAAGACTATTCAACAAACAACATAAAACAAAATCTCCACGTCGGTGCATGCATAAAACGTATAATTTCCTGAAATTTTGATTTAGAGCGAACTTTCTTATGATTTAGGCCTAAGGAAATGTAAATGTATATGGGTCTGAACTTTGTATGTGACAAAGTGTTCTTTCTTATGTTGTGGTCATATTAGAATATAATATCATTAAAGACCATTCAACAAACAACATGAAACATATATCAAACGTTTAGGTTAAACTTTCCGCTTCTGAGCATGCATATAACGTAAGTTTTTAGATATTATTTTCATGACATTGAGAATGTACTGATTATATAAATTGTAGATAGTTAGTGTTGTCCGATTGTGTGCATTGAAAATGTGACGACGAACTCAAGATACGGGCCTCGGTTGACACTCATATCCAAAGTCCTGTTAATTAACCTTGACCAGGAGTCTGTCCTCACCTGCTACGATGCCTCCTCCTCCTTATCATCATCACATCACCATCATCATCATCATCATATCATCATCGCAATATTAATTGTCCATGGTAAAAATGGGGGAAAACTATTAATTTAGTATGTATTCATCTATCAATAGAAGTCTCGTAATGCACGTAAGTGCATTTTTTCAGCATCTAGAACTTTCCGAAGCTAAGAGAACCCCAAGACTAACGCAAAGCACCCCCCGCCCCATGTCTAAAATGGGCTTCCAGCGACGGAACGAGCAAACATTACGTTCTCTTCCCATGATCCCACCAACTGAGGGACCCCATTATGTGCGATAGTCAGAGTTAAAGCTCAGTTTCCATATAATCGCTCACCCTATCGGCGATATTCGCCGACAGTTGTCGGGAAGGTTGAACCTGATTCAACTTTTCCGATTGCGTTGCAGACGCGGACGAATCAGGGTGCATTGCTAGCTGCCCTGCGCAATCGGGAAGGCACCCCGATTCGTCTGTGAAACACAACTGTCGCCGATAGGGTGAGCGATTCTATAGAAACCCAGCTAAAACTCTAGATCCGCGCCCGAGAGGTCCCTATTATCAAAATGTTCTATTCCCTTAGTCCCAACCATGGTGGGGGCAGTGAGCTGGACCCTCACGCACCCCTACCTACAAATCCTGCATCCACCCCAGGGCGTCATGGTCAAACAGTATGCTGAATGCAGAAAGCAAGAGTATAAATTTAAAAAAAAAAGAAATTACCGGAGGCAGGATAACGTGTCTTCACTCCATGTGGAATTTGATGGACATAAGCAATGTCCATCTTGGTCACAACCATAATCCTTACTGCAATTGACTGGACATTTTAAAGAGCCAATCGCTGGCTTTAAACTTTCTTGACAGTATTTGCCAGACGAACCAGGAGTGCATTCACACTCCCCTGTTGTTGGGTCACACGTTGCATTATTATTACATAAGCACCTACGATGGCATCCATCTCCCCATAAACCTGTACAGCGTGTTTCGCAAAATTTCCCCAAGTAGCCAGGCGGACATTTGCATCTACTCTCACTGCCAGTTTGGTCACACGTAGCTCCATTGCGACAACAGTCTGGGAACCAGCCACATTGTACATTATCGCCATCATGACAGATGTCTCCACAGAATAGTCCTCCAAATGGCAGTGCACACTCGCATTCACCTGTTATATGATGACATTGACCACCATCCAAGGTGCAGCTCTTGCAATCAAGAGCGCAGTCTTTTCCATACCATCCCGTGCTACACTTCTCATCACAAGTTGGTCCAGTCCAGCCGGGCGAGCAATCGCATTGCCCTTTAACTGGATCACATGTACCACCATTACTGCAAGCCGGACATTCTAGGCTGCATCTTGGACCGTAGAAATTTACTGGACAGCGCTCACTGCAGTAATCACCAATCCAACCGTCGGAGCAGTTGCAGGTTATATTGTAGTTGGTATTGAGACATGTTCCCCCATTCTGACAACATTGATCCAATTCGGGAGAGCAGACCCTGTATGCTTTTTTAGTTTCTACGCAATCTATTTAAAATTACGAGAATTATGAATTAGTTTTAACTGTAGCAAACTTAGAAATAATAATACAGGTACTGGAAACAACTCAGGTCATAATACTAAACAATGTTATTGAAATCACACCAATGAAGTTATGAACATACAAACTCACTTATAATCTCTGATACAAATTAGTATAACTGTCATATTAATTACGGTATTATAGGTCTTTTAAGTAAATAATAGAAATGATACCAAGATTTCTTAATGATAAATATTTTTATGTTTTCTATTTAATTTATGGTTGTTTAAACGACTTACCATCTTCACAGCTTTTTCCGGTTTGGTAGAATCCAGGACGACAGTATAATTCCGTTTCCACTGTGGCAATGATAAAATGTTGGGATTCGTGTCTTGTTCCACTAACAAAAAAATACAAGACTAAATGTTGTAATTGTTCTTTTTATGTATTTTAATATTATTCAGGCACAGGATACATTCAACTTCCTATTGTTTTGAAGCTTATCATAATTGGTGATATTGTCGTAACAAAGCTATTTTGGACAATAGAAAATAACGACAACAACAACAGAAGCAGTAGCGATATCAGCAGCACCAGCAACACAAACAACAAGGTTAGCTAATTTCCGTTTCAAAAACACGTGGCACCAAGCAAAATAATCAACATAGGAGCATTTGCAATAATAATAATAATAATAATAATAATAATAATAATAATAATAATGATTATAGTTACAGTTGTAGTAATAGTAGTAATATTAGTAATAGTAATAATAATAATAATAATAATAATAATAATAATAATAATAATAATAATAATAATGATAATAATAATAATTTACATTTGTATATTACATATTGCGTAGTGCCTGTATGAGTTTTACGTCAAAGACACTAAAGGCCTATCTTTACTAGTCGGATATGGTAAAGACCGCTCTGGAGAAATGTGATATATCACACCCGCCAGTAATGTAAACAGTAAAGTAAATAACGTTAATTTACCTTTTCTTTCGACATTGCTTTCCTAAGCTGCAATAAGTATAAGTGAAAGTATCAATGGACACCTCTTTAGTTATATTTTTCCAACTTGTCACACTAAGGAATCAAAAAGACAGAAATTTGATTATTTTTATATTTGCAATCTACCTTATTGAGTAAGGACAGAATGTTTGTTACGATTTACCGTCCAGACGCCTGCACAAATATGGCAGAAATATATCATAGCACCAAAATATATAGAAAAATACAAGTTGTCCAGTTTCGGCGAGTCTTGAAAAATCTTTTCTACAGACACGGTTGGAAAAACATGTTTAAAATTTAGGAACTTGGATATTTTCTTAGCCTCAATTGATAGAGCCGTGTAATTCAGTAAAGGGTACTGGCATATTTTGGTGCTGTTAACATGCAAAGAACATTACAATTATAATCATCATACAATTAAACATTTTATTTTCATCTTACAGCAATGCAATAAACATACATACATTAACAATTTAATGAATAAAAATTTGTTTACATACTTTCGAGAAAAGACATTCACCGCTCCCAATTCAAGCCCACTGCTTGAATCAGCCTGACTAAAATAAATTAGTGCTACGGCTACTGATGTAAGAAACAGTTTAAGCATTTTCTACATGTACTTGGTCTAAGCCATCCGAATTGTCCGACATCATCGCATCCTTTGATTTCATGTATAAGTGAGCATCATAAAAAACGTTTTTAGTTTTGATTTTTTTTTAGATTGTTTCCTTATTGTGTTTTCGCCGCCAATAACCTTCCGCTATATTTGAGTGCAGAACTGAAGTGTTAGGTAGCTTTCGTTTGCGTGACGAAGTGAAACGTAACCATCCTGCTTCTCTGGTAGATTCATTCCGAACAGCATCTTAGAAATCAGACGATAAAGGCGTTTCGCATGCGCAGATGTCACCAAGTACGTTCTAGATGTAACCATGGACCTATTAATAATTAATAGGTCCATGATGTAACCATCTTCGTTTAATGGAAAGCTCCTTATTATCTACTACACTTTAAATTATATTTTTAACAGTTGAGTGTTTTTGACACAATTTCAAATTCAGTAACCTTATATTTAGGCCATTTTAATTATCGAGATACATTTTCTTATGCCAATTTTAGCATGGTTTCTTTCATTTTGAAATTACAAAAAAAAAACAACCAAAAAACACATTACATTTGCGTAAAGTTGACTAATTTACTTATACAAAAGCATCCTCTTGAAATTATGATTGTTGTTTGACCATTGTTTACTAAAGATTCTACTATATTAGGAAGATTACATTAGGTTAAATACTTGATAGTATATTATTGATTGATTATTACCCAAAATATGTAAGGTACAATCAACCAATCAATCAATCAATCAATCAACCAATCACAATACAACAATCTTTCAAGCAACCGTCCCATTTAGGCCTATTATACGGTATGTCACAACAGATTTCAACAAAAGCCAACAATATAAATAAGCAATCTACAACGAAATCCAAGATGAAAATCAATCCATCAATCAATCAATCAGCATTTATAATGTTCCATTCCAACAAGCATTGCTGGTGGCGCTCTTCAGAATGTATAATAATTTACAACTATGTAAAATTATAACTTTTTTTTTATTACTTTTCATGTATTTCAACATATAACATTTTTTTTCATATGAAATGATGTTCACCTGAATAATACAATAATGGACGTTGACGGAAGTTGTTGAGGATATTGAAAATGATTTTACAGATAACTGAAGTGCAATGAAAATACTTATTATTTCAACTCATTAACACCTTTCAACTATTAACTGAATACGTTTATAGAATGTTTACAGTTACTATCTTTTTAAAACTTCAATGTACCCTTGTTTTAATCTTTTACTTAATATTAATGTTATATTGTCCTCGATATACCATCTTTAATATTTGTACTGTATACTGCAGTGATTTTTAAAAATATGATTTGCAACTAACGAAGTCATTTCTTGTACCGTAATGAGCTTTCACAACAATGAAAGTTCTGTATTATTATGTACATTACTTGCATTGCTAACTTTAAAACAAAATAAGGTCTTAAGTTCAACTCAACAAGACAAAGCTGTTTTAAAAATCGAATCGATAATCAAATGGCTATTTTACCGACAAAAAATTATTCCAAGTGCCAACCATAAATATAAGTCAATCCACAAACATCAAATAGTTACATGCACACAACAGTAGGCCTACTTTTACATCTTAACTTCATCTTGGCAGTCAGTGCAGTAAATGAAGTACGAGTATTTTATAATTTAAATACTTGTACATCAAACTACAGAAATTGTTTGAATAAAAAGTCAAAGATACGGTAGATTACAACGTACTTCAACAGAAGCCAACAATACAAACAATTAATCAAAAAGGAAATCCAAACCAAGTCTAGGGTGTGTTCTTTGTTGTTGTGCTTAGTATTATGTGTTGTAGATTAACAAAAAACAACCAGTAGAAGAGGACCATTTTGTCATTATAAAACCGAAACCATCAAGCCTATACAAGTCATTGCAAAATCTAGAGTTGTTACAATCTCATTTCTAATGTTATAAAAACAGACTTTCTCTTTTCTTACGTCCCTGGATTTCTTCAGAATCTCAATAGATACTTCGAATCTAGTAACTAAATTCCCTATTAATGTTAATTTGGAAATATGTTGGCCTCTGGTGTACCGTAATTGAAATTAATTCTGGCCCTTTTTATTTAAGCCTACTTGGAAGTGTCAGCACTCGAAAGGTTGCAAGTACGAATAATAATGCTTTGGTTTGGTTGGAAAAAAAGAATTACTTGTTACCCAGACGGCTGCCATCTTATATTTCTCTTCTAATGTTTCCCTCCTTTAATAAAAATATAAATACG